GATGAAACGAGGCTTTGCTATGCACACCCCGGGGTTCTCGATTTTCATTTTCCTGTCTTCAGAGGGTCGTCTCTTCTCTCCGTAGCTTGTTGCACTCTGAATTCGTTTATTTGAATTGTTTTGCATGAGTCACAGGCGCTCGGGGGTTCTCGGTGAGTAATACAAGCTAGGACAAGTGAACAGAAGACGCTGGTTGTGCTGTTCCATGGATAACTAAACTAAACCCAAAGCATAGAAAAAAACTACAGTAAATTAATGATAATAAGCATTGTTGTAAAGAAAAGAACAGAAATCAAGAGTTCGGCTGCAAATGTCATATTTTCAATAAATAAGGTTAGCGCTATCAGTGTAGATTGTATGCTATTTGTGTCTCACGGTTGATGCAATCTTCCAGCCCTCACTTCATGCGAGTACTGCAACGTTTGTGACAGTCTTTGCAAAGCGACCAGTGGTTGGTCTCCCCGCGCTCCAAGGCTCCGCTGTGAACATATGTTTTACTCGTGTCGGCATAATGTGTACGGAGATCAAATGGGTATGTTGAAATATCAGTGTATGGCCGCATGGTGATTGCATAATAGTGCCTTTAGCTTCAGACCAAATCGCATCAGAATTTCATGGGACGTGTCTTTTGTGAAGTGCCATTTCATGTGCATTGAATTTGTCCTGTAGGATCACTATTAGTTCGAACCCTTAGTCTTGAATCCAGTCGTCAGTCGTGGAATTGGCTCCATCACCATCTCATCCTTTTAACAACCCCCCTTGGCGTGAGGGATTCACTCGCAGTTCTTTTATTCCATACGGGTAAGTACTTGAGTAGAGTTGTTCAGGTGCAATGTGACAACTTCCTGTTATCATCATTTCCGTTTGCTTCATTTCTCACGAGCATCAGTGTCTCTACCACGTAGATGTATACAGGCTGTGTGTGTGCAGAAAATTTTAATGTCGTTAATGCATATACAATGAAATATAATGAGGAAAAAAATTATATATACTTGCATATAAGTACGAGTATATATATATATGTATACAATATGATATATATATATAAATATATATATATATAATGTATATACATATGTATATCTATGTATATTATATATACTGTATATATATTATGTTTATATATATTATATATATTTTTTATGTATATATATAAAAGAAATGCATACATACATATATGTGTACACATACATACAGGCTGCGAAGACCGAATCTCTATCCACATGAAGGGAGGAAGGTCCTTGATGACAACACACCCTCATTTAGTATCCACAGTGTACCCAGATCAAGCCACAGCAGCATCCTGCACGCACAGCTACAGAAAACCGCATGCTGCATCCTGTAACTATCAGGGGATCACCTGTACACAGGTATGTACTCTCCTGTATTATAGTTTTGTTTGCGTGCGTCTTGAAAACGTTAATTTCAGAATGTGGAAACGTTGGCGAGACACGTTTGTATTGCAAAAGTCGTGTTTTTTGCTTCTTTGTTGCTGTCACACATTTATTCCACCAAATTAGAAGAATTAATGGAAGACTGAGATCAACATCCATGTTTGTGTAATATGAATAACATAAGTAACGTTGTGTTGGTGATCTTTTCGGTAAAGTGCTCGGTAATAGTCTTCCGCTCTGCCAGGCGTACGATGCCACGCGCATTATTATTACTCTCAGGTGCAGGCTCGTAACCAAGGGATTACTGTATCGCTTACACCCAAATGGATGTTTTTTTCTTTTAATCACACGACGTCACACATTAAATAAAACGTTTTAATGTGTCAGAGGAAAATCAATTAACGCATATTTAGTTGTGTTATGGCAATGATGCCAACTAGAATTCTCTCCGGGATCGAAAATTCTCTTTTGTCTCTGACTTTGGACACTTGGATACACACACACACACTCACTCACTCTCTCTCTCTCTCTCTCTCTCTCTCTCTCTCTCTCTCTCTCTCTCTCTCTCTCTCTCTCTCTCTCTCTCTCTCTCTCTCTCTCTCTCTCTCTCTCTCTCTCTCTCTCTCTCTCTCTCTCTCTCTCTCTCTCTCTCTCTCGCTCTCTCTAGATAAATAAATAAATAAATAAATGAATAAATAAAGACACGCACCCAGAGACAAACAAAAACATACAGACGCGTGTGCTAGACAGATTTCTTCAGACAGTAGCATTCATCATTACTGTAGCGTATATAATACATCCGTTTTGAACACTAATTGAATCAAAAGGACTGTATCATTTTTACCGGAATTTCAGTATACAAGATACATCTAATTCGCCCATTACACTCTCTCTCTCTCTCTCTGTGCATTTAACTCTACTCACTCCCATGTAGTTTCTCGAGAATTGAGAGCTTTTTTTAGGGGGCACCTACTTAATTAAGGGCACAGTATTAGCTACTGATATATTATGTGACAAGACTATCCATGTCATGTAATTAATATAACAGAAGACAAAATTGAATATCATTGCTGCCTTTTTCCGTATCTTCGTATGCTATTTCATCTATTTTTTTTTTTATTCGTTATCATTGATTTTATTATTATTATCATCTTAGTCATCTTTATTAGTTAAAATATAGTGTGCACGAGGTCACGAGCGGGTTCAGGTTGTACAGCGTTCAAAAAGAAGAGCAAAAAGATCTTTATATCAATACATTGAACTTTTCCCTCGCTGAAGGTAAAGTGTAGCTATTGCAAGCTGAATACATGAACACAATAGCCAAACTCATCGAGGCCAGCATCCATATTCATGCAATGGCTCTCGCGCAGGTGCATCATTGCTAGTTCTGTCAGCCATGCGTCCCTTTTTTGCGATTTTGGTAAGATTATGATGATCTTTGGACTACCGTTCGACTTCTGCTTGTGTATATTACTACCTGATTATCTATTGACTTTTGTTCGACCTCTGTCAGTGTACCTGAAGACTTGCAGTGGTTGAAAGTATCACTGCTCACTGTAACGAGGACACTGATCGCTGGATTTACTTGATTTGGAAGATGTCTTGGTTGGCAGGCTTATCCATTTGATATAAAACCGATACCACCACACTGGATTTTATTTTTACACTAATTGCTAATGTCAAACGTTTCCCATGTTGTGGTTGTTTCACCGTCTCCTCGTGTGATAATACGATATCTTGTCGAAGAAATGAAAAGTGCTGTTCTGTATTCCGCACAGAAGTAGGAGTGGGTAGTTCAGAAGGTTGGGTCAAATAGACATAGGTCTACGTATTTTTTATTTATCTTCTCCATTCATTTTTTTTTTATCTTCCTTTTTGGCGAGAGGCATACGTTATGTGAACATGGCACAGCTGTTGGTTGATTTAACGCATTTTTTTTCGGTACGTATAGCTTGAAATTGTTTTGAGTCAGTGGACACTTTAAATTTCCAGCGCCATTTAGTTTTTTATTCATGTTTCGGTTACTGTACTCTGTATCTCAAGGTACCCTGCGCCTTGTCCCAAAAGTGTTTCGTTATTTGGTTGCGATGCGGAAAAGTTCAATATTCCTATTTATTTTCGGGAATCACATCTCAACCCACTGCTAAAATGAAAACCAAAAGAAAACAGAAACGAAAAACGAAAGACACACACACTCACCGTATATACAGGCTGAGTGATTCAAAGTTTCTCGCACCCCTTCGGACGCGCATAATGTGAAAGCTGTATGATAGCCGTAGTCAGATCAGGGAAATGCCCGTAATGTTATGCTGTTGTTGCCTCGCTCGCCGTCGTCAAGTAGTGCTGTGCTACCCATTCTCCCCCTCACAGATGATACTTTCGTCGATGGTGAGTCGCTGAACTTAGGAGTCAAATCTTTCCTATTCCGTGTAGTAAGGAGAGGATTGGCGAATCGGGGGTAGGGGGAAGAAGGAGGAGGAAGGGAGGTTCTAATCGCTATAAATCAAGTCGACAGCAGAGGTCAGGCGTAAAGATTCGGCCTTTCGTGGGAGAAGAAATGAAGGGCGTGGGTTCTGCTGTAACTCGTAGTGGATTGCGGAAGGTTTGTTTTCTTTTTATTATTATTATTATTAACATTATTATTATATTTTTTTGAAGGGGGGAGGGGCGGGCGGGGGGTATTTCTTGCTGTTTTGTTTTACTTTGTTGGACAGTTGGCGAGAGCAACGCACATGTATAAGGCCATGGAAGGTTTATTTACCTTGTGCTTAATAATGGCTGTAGTCGATGATCTTTAAGTCTAATTGCGATACTAAATTAGTGATGGCAAAAGGCTTTTCCATTTTAGAACAATTCTGTTGAATTTCCATCATTAGTCTAGTGAATTTTTTAAGGTATTAAAAAAGTGCTCTGGGTCCGTAGAATTTTCTAGTAGAACAAACATTATTGTCTCGGAGGTGTCACTATGCATGCAAGAGCTGGTGTGATTTGGTAATATATTTATCTATTAGCATTTCAAATCATCGCGAATATATTTCCAGGATTATCTTTCACCAGTGACCGCCCCCAAGAAATACAGGAATGGGCAAGGGTGGGTTGTCTCGGGGTACATGGGGTTCCCACTCTTACTTTCCTTCATACCGAAAAATCCCCTTTAAATCAAGTGACGCGGGGTGGGGGACTTTCCTTTTGAGTAGGCCTTTCCTTCGGCTGAGTCCCTGCCCTTTGAAAGTCTGCACACGCCACTGCGCCCGAAAGAGGAATTACCCCCAGTGATGGTGAAAAAGCTATCGTGTCGTATCTCTCTGCTGAAGTGTAAGCCTTTAGCACTGTATGCTTGTTGATTTCTCAGCTCCAACGACCGTACATACTTCAATCTGTAAGCACATCTAAGTTTTTGCAAGAAATACATAAACCCACGCATGATCTTATTAGGAAGCGGGTGAGGATAACTTGTGCTACCGCATCCACTTGCGATGTATAAGTTTATGTTAAATAACAACCTCGTCAAAGCAATGAAAAATGTCAGAAAATCGGGTTACAAAGGCCTAAAACATATATATATATATATATATATATATATATATATATATATATATATATATATTTTTTTTTTTTTTTTTTTTTTTTTTTTTTCCCCTCTACCTAATCAAGGTTGAGATGTACGGGAGTTATATTAAGTTATACGGGACCCTGCAATTACATTATAAAAAGTTGAAGAAAAACGAGAAATAAACGACGGACAGGTAATTAGTGTGGAAAGCGCAGCATTTTTCAGAGAGACCTGGCTTTGCTATAAAAAAAAATACATTAGGTTCCTCCAAAGTGCGCTAACCTCGACCAACACATTTAATAAAAGTCGAATCTAAACCCACTCGGCTTAAAAGTCTAAAACCTAGCGACATAAGAAATCGATAGCTAACCGATAAATTCGAAATAATTCAAGATTAGAAAAAAAATGGAGGCGCGCTTGCAAACGAGCGTCAGGGAAACCAGGTGCACGAGTGAGGCCAAGTCGCTGACTCCTCGCGCTTTCCAACCAAGTGGTACACTGACGATTAGTTCTACAAAATGAACTATCTCGACTTCTCACGAACCGCGTGGTATAACATAGAAAAAATAATAACATTGCTCCACAGCCTTGACACCTACCCAAGTGTTCGTAGAGTGTTTTTTAAAGTTTGAACGCAAGAGACTGTACGTTATTCCATAGAATAAATTAGGAAGGGACACAAATATACCAAATCAGTTTAGAACATCTCTTGAAAAAAATTGCCAAAAGATCTACGTACCTGTTTTTAAAGTTGGAATCCAAGAGCTCGATCGTATTTTGATAGGATACAGGGGCAATATAGGCACTTTGAGGGGATAAAAGATTTCAACGTATGAGTATGAAAGAAGCAGGGAAGCATATCAAGTGATTTTGGAGTCAGACTGTTTCTAGGACTCCTTAAATTTGTCAAAGACCTTTCGTGAATACCGCCCCAGAATGAATGCTTGACATATTCATTGTATAGGTTTAATGGCAGGTTAGAATTATAGAATTTAAGGATTTAAATTAATGTGTATCTGAATGTTTGACGTACATAGGTTGAATGGCAAGTCAAAATTAGAAATTTAGTGTAAGGAGTTTCAATGGATGCATTTATCTGCAATGTTTAGATAAAAATAATCTGGGTGTGGCGATTCAAATAAATATAGCAAAATAAACAAAGTTTCCATGTGAAAATAACTACTATGAGATAATCCTTCCATCGACAAAGGCTTATAAGACATAGCTACCATATGATCGAATTCACATAACCCGCGTAAACGGTGCAGATCACGAAAACCTTTCCGCGGTGCGTAGTCCCCATATTTCAAGGTCACTATGGAGAGGTACCATTCTACGGTACGTATAAGGCATTACTCCCGGCAACGAGTGGAAAAGTACGCATTGCGTGTCGAGATGGTTGCCGTGATACCGTACTTATAGG